CGAGTATAGGTCAAAATTTGCAGTTTTCCAACCGCCAAGTGGTGGCGTCTCCATATGAGTGAAAAGTACAAGAGAGGGACATTAAACAACAAGCAAACAAACAAACAAACAAGACGTATTCCACCTTACCTGCAATGCGTATTCAGCCTTAATGGTTAGACGGACTCAATGGTTACATTTACATCGTAATCTATGGCCTGTCAAACGTTGCAATATTCGATCTTTTCCATTTTTCAATTTGTATTGTATAATTTTTCATTTGTATCGTATAATTTTTCATTTGTATTGTATATTTTTTATTTGTATTCTATAATTTTCCATTTGGATTCTATAATATACTATTTGGATTGTATAACATTAATTTGTATTTTAGATTTTCAAATTGTATTGTGAAAAAAAAATCAATAGACAGGTGAAGGGCTTCAAATTTTTACCTTTACTAGGCACTCAGGGCCATTGAGCAGTGAGGGGTCTTTATTGTGCCAACGTCTGCCGTTACACGGGGGAATCGGTATTTAAGGTCTCATCCAAAGGACCCGCAACTTTCACTTCAAAGTGCCCAACAAATGGCGAAGGAACAGTTTCTACCCATTTTTAGTCGACTTAGGTCAGTCCCGGTCGAGATTCAAACTCACGACCTCCCGATCACGGAGCGAGCGCTCTTCCGACTGAACTACCGTGAACGGTCATTTTTATTGTATCCGAGGATTGTTTATTTATTTCGTTAAGAAGGATTTCATTGGTCATTAGTCTGCAGAAAATGTTCAAAACGAGCGAGATGTTTCAGGTCCCAAACACAAATTTAGTCTGGTACCCATCCTACAATTCCGATCGCATACTCTCTACAAACTTAATACAAACTCGGCTCCTCTTTTTTGTGGCATGCTAAGGTCGACATTTGGTTCTCGGGGAGTGCGTGGGGGGGGGGGGCAAATTTTACCGAATCCGATTATTTATTTTCATTCTCTCGCAGGAGAGAATATTTATTTCCAATATGACAAGATACAAGGAGAAAGAAGAAAATCTGACCAGACTCCTAATTTTAGTTTCTTGGGGTTGGGGGTGGAGTTGGATGGGGGTAGGTACCACCATTCAAGGTCAATTTATTTATAATACAAATGGGAATTTACAAAATACAAATGGGAATTTATAGAATACAAATAAAAAACTACAATACAAATGAAAAATTATAAAATACTAATAGAGAATTATATAATACAAATAGAAATTATAAAATACATATGTGGAATTTATACAATGCAAATGGAAAAGATCGAATATTGCAACGTTTGACATGCCATAGTAATCTGCCTTTTTTAAGGCTGGTGAAGTCTGCCATGGTGATTAAGCAGAGAACACGGTGAATTCAGGATTCCCTGTATCTTTGACTAAATCTTATACATTTCATTTATGGACTGTGTCAGCTGTCAATCTTTCAGACTTCTACAAGCTTCTTGAATTTACATTAGTAAGGGTGAGTGAAGTGGTGGCTTTGGATACAAAGCATGTTACTGTCTGTAGTGATGGTATTGAAGTTTTTATTAAAACATCTCAAACTGATCAAACTGGTTCGGGAGCATTTGTGTATGCGCAAAAATAAAATGATACAATGTTATTGTTTCAATAATGCAGAATTTTGCTGCACTAAGTACCGATATTAAAAGAGTGTCCTACTTTCCACATTTTAACTTTAAAGCAATGCCAGTTTTCCGTCCATGTTAAACAAAGCTTTGCATATGAATTCAGTCGTCTGAATTTAAAACACTCGTTTCGCATTGAAGGTGCAACCCATATGTATACGAAGGAGCTTTCAGAGGTACATACTAAGCAGATAGGAAGGTGGCAGTCAGCAGCTTACAAATCTTACGTGAGATCACTATCGTTATAAATTTACATCCTGTTCAATATTGTTTAATGAAACAAAAGTTGCAATTCTCATTATTTTGGTGTTAACTTGCTCATCAATTTTAAATTTCAATGTTTAGATTTCATTTGGATCATAGGTTCAGCAATTATTCATTGGGCTCACGTATATGCAAAGAATTCGAATCAAGTTCATCTTTGGCAAGCTGGAATAATCCGACAGCTTGTGGCATGGAATTGGTGGTATGGTTTGGGAGCAGTTATATCCCACTATTGAATTTTGTTGAGCTCTTAACAAGGCACCAAAGATCATTATTATTATTGTGGCACAACAATATTGGTCAAGTTCACAATAAGTTAAGTTGTCTAAAAATTTAAGACAACTTTGGCAAATATTGCTCATTTACTTCCCCAAACTAATATTATATGGTCATATATTTTGTTTCGATATAATTTGATCAATTGCCTTAAAGATAAAGAAGGACAAAAGTGTAGACGTAGGATAAATAGTGCATGTGCTACATGTACGTTTATGGTAAATTAGTATCAGGGTCGTGCTGCATCAATTAGTTTTTAAGTTATCAACACAAGGAATTGTTTAGAAAAGATGTTCATTTATCAGACTTGGGCAATAGTATTTTTATCAATACTTTGAGGGATGCTTTTGATCACCTCTTTGTTGTTATTTTCTTTCGCCACATTTCCTTGATGCTTGTCATGAGCCAATTCAGTGCGAGTTGCACCTTTTTACATTTTAATGCAATTTGTTTTCATTTCAAAATTTCAATATTAAGGTGCGATTTTTAACTTTCAGTAATTCAGTTATTTGGTGCAATTCGTACCTTGTACTTTTATTACTATCTTGGGTCATGTGACTCTCTCCCTTGACCAATTTAATTGGCATAATTTTGCATAGAATGCTGTCTCCGGGAGCACTGTTTTTTTTTTTTTTTTCAGGCTCCTTGGATCATGATGGTATTTTTCTTGCTGATTATTTTTCTATATTCATTAGACTATGCCGCCATATCACCAACATCGGCGCATACATTGTGTTACATTCATTATATCATTGTGTGGCCATGACAAGCACGCCAAAACATATTAAGACTTGTTTTTTTTATTCACTGTATTTACAAACATCTTTAACCAGGTAAAGGGTGAATCTGATTAAGTTTTTTTTCCCTGTTGTTGTCGAAGTCAAGGGTGCCAAGTAACAACCCCAGTTTTGACAGTCAAATTAAAACGATCTAAAGACATTTTGTATCAGACACAATTTTACATATATATGTAAAATATATTTGTAACATTGTTGTCATTTTTAAATGCAAAAAAGGAAAACAAAAGATAAGTAGGATGTGAATTATTCTTGAAACAATACACAGATTAAATAATTGCATCAAAATATAGATTAAAAACAAATGATGCATTCCTTCATGTTATATTTGAGGAAGGAAGTTGACAGTGCATTAGTAGAAATAATAACATTTAAACAAAAATGAGCAATGCTGAAGTGTAAGTGTAGAGCAGAGAAAACAGCTTTGAGTACTATTACTATTTTAGGTGTGTACGAGGATTGTCAAAAAAGTTCTGGGACAATGACGTTTTTGCAAAATTAAATTATTTACCATCACCTCTTTATCCATTTAAGAATTTTTTTTTTTTCATGAAATAGCAAACAGTGAATTTTTCTTCTTCTTTGTTAGTAAATTGATTTGTTAAGCTTTCTTATTTTTTCTTTTCTTTTTTTGTTAATGATTTCCTTGGGGGTTACCTCTCTCCCATCCTTGATAAACATTGCTACGGACATAGAGGGTTTCAAAACATTTTTAATCGCTGACAGATATGCGCAAATGTTAAAATGCAAAAGAAATTTTATCTTTGACATTTATCTGTGAAGGCAAAAATTTTATTTTAAAAGAACAGAAATAAGAAATCAATGATACACAAATTTGAATATAGAGGTAGCAAGTACCTATATCATCATTGTATGTATGTCTAAATCATCAAGGTACGCATATCATATGGATTTGCAATCACACAAGATATATATTTTTTTCGGTTTTATTTTTACACTTCATTCTGCTCATTTAAAAAAAAATTATATCCACAATTCATATCATGACCGATTTTTTTAATACTAATTCTTATGCTATTATTTAAACACTGAATTGTCTATGGATTTTCCTTCGTCCCGATCCTCAAAATGGGCACACGGCGGGTGTGGCCGATTGACAAGGGATGCTTAATCCTCCATGACACCTGATCCCACCTCTGATGTTTTCAAGAGGTTTAATAACCGTTCTTAATCTCCATATATCATCAATTCATTTAATGAAATATGGAATGAATAACAAAGTCAAGCGGTGTAAATTCACGAAAATGACAAGCCTGATGTCATGTTGAAATATGCCTAAAAAATGCTACGAATATCAGGTTAATACCAATGTTTTTCCTACAAAATATATATATATATATATATATATATATATATATATATATATATATATATATATATATTTTTTTTTTTTTGAAATACTGAAACATGTTTTTTTTTGGACATAACCATTGCAAAAAAATACAATGACAAATCACACAATGACAATGTATTCAGTCTTGTTCAATCCATGTACCTCCACTTAATGTTACATGTATTTTAATCTTAAGATAAAACCTCTTAATAGTTACAGGTCGACCATCTTAATTCCTTTATTGCAACATATTAAGTTGCATCGATGTTAAATTACATTTTTTGAAACTGTGTACAAGCAGGGATACATGTGTGTGTGTGTGTGTGTGTGTGTGTGTGTGTGTGTGTGTGCTTCAAATCTCTGACATCTCTATATCAATAAACTTGAAATAAATTAAAGATGTCAATGAATTTAGCTCAAAACACTACAGTATTATTAATACAAAACTGTAACGTACCTATGCAATGTTCAATTTTATATGTATTACTACCAATAAATGTGAAATTTGTGATAAAGAGTTTATCCCATCTAACGGAATTGATTTAACAGAAAACAAATATAGATAAGGAAATTGGATTATATTTTATTAAAATTTTGGTATGCGGAAGAAATTGATCAAAGAGATATAAAGCATTGCGAACTGCTTAAATTGCCCATATTTGAGGTTTTCAAACATGAAAATAACACAGTTTACTGTAATATTCCTTTGCCTAATGTTCTGTGCTTTGACAATCATTGCAAGCACTACCTGTGACGGGTAAGTATAATTCCATAGTTATATATTCTCATAATGAGTCCATGTTGCAAACGAGAGAAGATTTGGCTGTGTTATTTGGTGTTATTTTTTGTAGAAAAAGCGGAGTTACATGCTGCTTTGGATACAAATGGAGCAAAGAGTACCAGGCTTGCATCAGTAAGTTTTATCAAAATGCTATGAGAATTTTTTAATGTAAAAAGTGTAGGTAGGGTACAGGAAGGAATAAATATATTTATCGTTATCATATAATACATGATACAGTAAAACTTGTCTAATTCGGAGTCCATTATACAATCTTTCATAGAGTGTAGTCCTGGATACTTTGGGAACAATTGCTCCCAGATTTGTCCCTATCCAACGTACGGGGATAAGTGTAAAAACGTCTGTAATTGTGACCCAGACGCATGCCGCCATGATGTTGGATGTATCATTAAAATGGGTAATATCTTTCGGTATCTCTACGTTTAACATATACATAAACAACATATTTCTATTTTTAACTATAAAAAAAAAGATTTTATAAAAAGCAATGTCTAAAGAGATTTTGATATATTTTAACAGACATGTATCATTAATAATACCTTCAAAAACATTTTCAAAAGACTCATAAGGTAGACAATTTTAAAGCAAATTAGCGAAAATATGGCTTAACATTTGACAAATCAAAATTAAATCGAACATTTATATGTACATATAATTTCTAAATTAACTTTATAATAACCTTGTCACAATGACAAGAATTTGACATACATACTCTAAATCCCTTCAATATCCCTTCTAAATCCCTTCTAGTTGTGATCAAATTATATTTAAGAAATAGGGTATCATTTTAAAACTTTTATCGGGATGTAAATACGGGTTGGTCATGTGATCAAATTCCATAAAGCCCGAAGGCTTTTTATTTTCAAAACCACTGCGCATCTATGTTAAGGCTTCCCGAAGCTTTAAAATGCGCTCGAAACATAATATGTCATTGCGAGGTCGGTTTTGGTTTTCATTTATAAGTATTGAACTTTAGTACTTCCAATTTATCTAGAGGGTTTCCACGGCTATATATTAACATATTTGTTATGATATCACATGACTTTGTTGATCACGTGACGGTCATTTATAATTTTTTGAAGTGTTTCATATAAATCGCTTCGGCGCAGCTGATTAACATAATAATTATTAACATTTTGTTATATAAATAAACACATCGTATCCTTGTGTATCCGAAATGTGTTTGGGAAAAGTCATAGTATTACTTGGGTACAAAATATTTCCTGAGAAATTCAACTTACCTACAAATTTGAGGGTATTTTCATCACAATATCGTAATCTGTATTAAAAAAAAGCCAACATACATTTTTCCCAAGCAAGATTCAGTTAGACAACAACTTCTTTTTACAGATTTCCACAAAAATTCTCAGATTAATCCTTATTAATCACCTGCGCCAGACTCTTTTATACACACAAAATAAATTCTACCTCCAACCACGGGTATAAAACAGAGTACATTTCAAAAGTATATTTTTCATAAGCATTTTGAACATGCTGAATTTCAATCAAGGGTTGGTAAGCGGTGTATTTTTAAAATTTTCAGACATATAAGACTTAAAAAAACCTTTAACAATCCGTGAATTTTGCAATAGCTATCTAGCATTTTACATGCAGTTTGAAATAAAGTGTAAAGTTCATGACACTCTCCCCGTCACAACACTTCAAGTTTGCAGTGACTTGGCGTCATTTTCCATTATGACGTCATATTTTGGCAGTTCAAAGATGTGAAGGCACAGAGTGCACTGCGATATTCTTCGGGAAGCCTTAACCTTCCTGCGTGTAGTATCCTCCAGTGAAATTACAATAAATAGAATAATCATTCCAACTGCTGCCAACCTTAACCTCTTCTTTGTGAATGTGAATTTTGAGTTTCGCTCATGACGTTGCACTTGTTTGTGACGTCAAAATAAAAATCATAATTTTTTTCTGTTCAGTTTTCGTTTTATGGTGTATTAAATGCCAAAGCTTTCCACACATTTTATAAGCAAAATTTAAGTGGAATATACCTATATCAAAATTCAAAACAAAAAAAGTTACAAAGTGAATCCCTAACATCAGTGTAAGATTAGTCTAATTTTACCATATGCCAAATTAATTTGTACGTACAAATGGTAGAAAACACTGAAGTGTGATCAAATCCCAGCTTTTCCAGGTTTTGGGTACCTTATGAGCTAAAAGTTGTTGAAGGATACCTGTGCTGACATTTTTTTTTCTTAATCCCGACTTCAAAGTACTATTAAATTGACATAAAGTACTATTTTATAAATACAAAAAAAAAACTGTAACCATTGTTTTCTTTTAGAGGAGACATCCACACAACTGGCAACAAAAGATCAGAAAACTAAATCGACCGACAAAACAGAAAAGGTTTTTACTACACCCCGTTCCCCTACGACTGTTGGAACTACATTTAAAGGTGAGATTTATCACAATGACAGTTCCACACTCTCTGATAAGAAACTTGAAAGCATACACCAAACATACCCCTTGAAAAATCCAAACAGTGAAAAAGGCAATGTACTACTAATAGCTACATTAGTTGGTGTGGTAGCAATACTGTTGCTATTATTGTGCATAATAATTGGTTATGTAGTGAAGCAGGCAAGAAAAGCTTGTAGGATTCTAAAAAGTAAGAACCCGAAAAAGCCAGTTAGTGACACTGACCATTACAATTGCTTAGAAGATGTGGAACCGCTGCTCCCTTATGACACCATTAAAGGTTCAGTCTTCAATGGTCTTGCGGAAGTGAAAATAAACTTTGACATTGAAAGAAAACAGTACATACTTGGATTAAGAACACAAAGTGATGAAAAAGAACTGCAAACAACAACTTCAATGAACAAGCAAAATTTGGATACGGTTAAACTGCCTGTACTGGCATCTGATGTTAAAGGGGCTGCTTCTTGTGCTAAAGAGTATTCAAACTATGACGAACCTAATGGGAATATCGACGTAAAGGTGAATTTCGAGAGACATGAATCCACTGCCTCATATCTACTGGTCCTTCCTGATAATGATTCTGGCGATTGTACATCTTGTCCGTCCGGGATTAACTGCACCGATAAACAAAACTGATATCATTTTGCAAGGCAGCAATTAATGTTTAAATCTAAATGTTCTTAATAATAGTGTCATTTAGATACGGTATGTTGAATTGTATTTTGACTTTAAAAAATGACAAACTTTTTTTCGCACGAAAATAAAAGCGTTAGGGTGTTCTTTTTCTTGATATTGTATTAATTTTTAAGCAAAAGTAGGTTTGTTTGTTTGTTTTTTATAACCATGCATAACAATTTGATACCGCTCATTTATAATTCATATCACAAATTCTAAAAAATACAATTGAGAATACAATTAATTTTTACATTTGTAATTTCCTTGTATGTTAAACAATTTGTGCAAACGATTTTCTTGTTACTGTCCCTGAAAAATAGGCAAACGGATAAATGTTAATAACAGGAAATAGGCATTGATATGCATTTTTCGAATAATTACTATTAAAATAGTTCACAGGGCGTAGGGCAGATCAAGATTTCTGAATTAAAATTTATTATTAAAGTTTATTTCAGAAATTTAGGACATATATATTATAAACAAAATGCTTTAAGGAAATATTTAATACTCTTTATGTATGTCTTTTGTTTCAATAAATAAAAATGGAGTTCCAAAATGAATATCTGTAATTATCTTTCGAAGTTTATCTTGAAAAATGTAATTTAATAATTATAATAATAATAATAGGACTACTAGAAACTCATTACTAGTAATGAGAAGGTCTTCCGTTATACTACTTCCTGTTTGCATGAACATGTCTTTTCCAACGTCGGTATTAGGCTAAAATTTATGTAGAAACCAAATAACTTAAAATAATACTTTTTTGCTTCGATTCCTGCCACGATCGGAAGTAATGATGACACACGATTTTTATACGATGCAAATGACCTGATGATTGACTTTAAGTCCTGAAAGTTTTCGACTTCAGTCTTTTACTGTTGCTGAACAATTGTGAGAAAAAATTGTAATTTTGATTACGGGAAAAACACACGACCGGAAGTGAACTGAATAAAAATCTCTGAATTTTCTCCTGACTTTTGCAGTATCTGCAGCATATGTAAAAACATTTCAAATACTTATCTATAAGTAATATTTATGAGAAAGTTAAATCACGAAATAACGTAGTTTATCTCTTGAAACCGGAAGTTTAAAGTTTTTGTTTCCGGTGGAATCTAACATATTTCAAAATAGCGAAAGAGAAGCAATAAAGTGATGCAAGTTTTAAAAAGAAAAGTTGAATTTTTTTCTTTCTTCGATCACTTCCTGTGACGACCGGAAGTAACGGCTGACGCTTTTAACCCCATGTGTTTTGCCTTCTCACCAATGTTTTTTACTCCTATAAGTTTGGTGTCTTACTCTCATGCTGTTTCCGAATCTCGCTGAAATAACTTTTCATTTTGTGGACAAGAAAACACGGGACCGGAAGTGAATTTCACTAAGATATTTCATGTCATTCTAGACATCTGCAGTCTTAATAACATATATAAAAATCATTTAAAGAACTCCATCTATAAGCGATATGTATTGGAAAATTAAAAACCCTATTATGTAGTTTTTCTATTATAACCGGAAGTTGTCGTTTTTTGGTTCCAGTGGGACCAACACATATCGTAAATGTGAAAAAGATACAATTATATGATGTAAGTCTTATTCCAAAAGAGAAAAGTTGAAATTTTAGATTTCTTTGATCACTTCCTGTTACAACCGGAAGTGACGGCTGACGCTCTTAACCCAAATGGTTTTGTCTACTCCTCAAGATCTAAAAGTCCTATAAGTTTGGTGTCTAAATCTCTTACAGTTTCTGAGATCTCACTCGGAGAAGTTTTCATTTTGCGGACATTTAAACGCGCGACCGGAAGTGAATTTTACAAAGATATTTGAGGTTACTCTAGACATTTGCAGTTTTGATAACATATTCAAAAACCAGTACAAATACTTTACCTATAAAAAATATTTATGGGAGAGTAAAATACTCAAATTATGCAGTTTTTCGCTTATAGCCGGAAGTTGTCGTTTTTGTTTCCGGTGAGACCAACATATTTCGAAACTACAAATGAAATGCAATAACGTGATACAAAAAAAGATTCAAAAAAGAAAAGTTAATATTTTCGATTTCTGTTATCACTTCCTGTGACGACCGGAAGTGACGGCTGACGCTCTTATCCCAAATGGTTTTGCCTACTCCTCAAGATCTATTAACCATATAAGTTTGGTGTCTTAATCTCTTACCGTTTCTGAGATATGACTGGGACAAAATATTTTTGAAAAAAACGGAAATCGGACATATCTGACGACACGAAGTGAA